AATCGAAAAATATGTCCGTATGTTTGTTTAAATACAGTACATTCGTGTGTTCCCACTTACGAATCGCCCGACTAACGAACGGGCCTCAGAACGGAATATGTTAGTAAGTCAGGGACTACACTCACCAACTGGCCTATTGACCTTTACTTCAGCGGCCAATCACTGTTCCCCAGTGAAATGTATAGACTGATATACTATAAAATAAAACAATTGGAAAACACGGCCTTTGAATAAACATGACTTCCATGCCAGAGTGAAAAGCATGACTGTTGACACAGCAGGGTAACTCAGGAGATTTGTGATGGATTTCAGACTCAAGGGCAGAACTTTGACTGACCTCAGTATCCAGTGTGCACTATCCACTGTCGGGTCTAATCAACATCACAGCATTGCGCCAGAGATTGTAAATTCTTGGAAATAGGTTGACATGCGTGCCCATTTGATTATTCCATCATTAGAGGCATCTGTGACAACCTTTGTGCTTTATGGGTCGTTTAATTCCAATAAAAAAATGTAAAATACCAATTTGCCAAAAAAAAGATGAAGCAACGCCATGGAAAGTAAGGGGCCGTCCATAAATGACGTCACGCGATTTTGGACGATTTTTGACCCCCCCCCCCCTCGTCACACGGCGTCACAAAAAGTCAAAACCCCCCCTCAAATATGACGTCTCAAAGCTCTGCCCCCCCCCCAAAACCATATTTACATTTTGAAAATAAAACATGCTTCAAATCGCTTTAAACTATTGTCATTGTAGTGCGTATTTAATGTAGCGCTGCACTCTGATGTTGAGTGTTGTTATAACAATTCTATATTTATTTGAAGTTGCGCATTTTGATGTGACGTCACATTTCTAAACCCCCCCCCCCTCGTCACACATCGTCACAAATGTCTGACCCCCCCCCCCCCCTAGGTGCGTGACGTCATTTATGGACGACTCCTAAGTACATTGGACTGACTTGCAATCCAGAGGTCTTCCTCTTCAATTTCATCTCCCGGAACGAGCGTTGATATCATGAGCATGTGTATTACATTTCCACAGCCTCTGTCCACCCACAAGTTTCAACAGTCGCTCATGGTGGGGCAAAGTGAGGGTACTCCCCCCTCTTCCAAGACGCCTGGTCACTCAACACATATGTTGGTCAAGGGGTAGGAATCTAAACGGTTTTTTTTACCATTCCAACCCGTTTTCTACATTTCACTGAAGACGATGACTTCGACGCACTTGTCCTGGGAAGGTTTCCTTTATTAAGGAGCCACGTGCTCACACTGGGACAGGCGGAGACCCCACGGCAACAGGCCCGAGTCTCCAGCGCGTCTCCCTTATATACGGTCCGTGGCCACGCCCCCATTCCTGAACCTTCTCGCTGGCTCTAGACCGCTCGCTCTACCATGCAGACTCCACCGTCCTCTTTCCGTCACCTGGCCACGCTCCTATTCTCGATCATTACCGTAATCCACCAGTCCATTCGTACTGACAGGCTGACTCCCCTGTCATGACCTCACGTGACCACTAGTCCATTCGTACTGCAGGCTGACTCCCCTGTCATTACCTCCCGTGGCCACTAGTCCATTCGCACTGCAGGCTGACTCCCCTGTTATTACCTCCCGTAGCCACCAGTCCCTTCGTACTGGAGACTGACTCCCCTGTCATTACCTCACGTGGCCACTAGTCCATTCGTACTGCAGGCTGACTCCCCTGTCATTACCTCCCGTGGCCACTAGTCCACTCACACCGTAGGCTGACTCCCCTGTCATTACACACATACATTACACTCGTATCACCACAGAGGAACCTCTGAAAGATGTTGCTGAGGCTATTGGCTCAGTTGGGAGTTGGAGCAGTAGGAGCGTGGCGATCCGCATTACGCCACAAACCCAGAGATTCCCAGCCACGGCTAACATCAGTGGCGATTTCAATTTAAAGCTTTCGTGACTGCAGGGATTCATCTTCTTGGTTCTTTCGGTAAAGTCACGTAGAATGGAAATAATAAAATAATAAAAATAAAACATAAAATAATTCTCACGACGAGAACAGGTCTGTCGAGAAGACAGACCTGTTCTCCACCTGAGGACGGCTGCTTGCGTTGTGGCCGAAACATCATGAGAATTATTGTATTATGTTTTATTTTTATTATTTCCATTCTACGTGACTTTGCCGAAAAAACCAAGAAGATTAGTGGCGATGTTTGAATTGATACAGCCCACCCCCCCACCCTAAACCACCTTCACCAACCCTTACCGATGGTTGGTGAAGGTCAAACCAACTCGCTCAGGCCCATAATCCACAAAGCGTGGGGATGCCCTCATCCAGCAAGTGGATTGACGTTGTTATTGTCAGAGCGCTCCCAACTGAGTGCAAAGGTTGCGGAAAAGCAATACTGTACGTGTCTGTTACATTTACAACAAAACCACAAGCGACATCGCCACCCAGTGTGCAAACAAAATACAACCGGGCAATGCTGTGAGGAAGCCCTTGTTGTGACTTGACAAACTATTCGAAATATGCGTGATTGATTCACAGCTCAGTGCTATGCGGTGGATTTTGTTGTTGTAACACACGCGATTGAATACAAAAGGCTGATATTTAACTGCATAACTTTTGCAATGAGTTACAGTGTTTTACAATTAAACACAGCACACAGCTTTTGAATTTAATCTTAAATTTGGAGCTTTCGTGACTGCAGGAATTACTCTTTGGTTCTTTCGGTAAAGTCACGTATAAAGATAAAATAATTTTAAGTTCGCACGTTTTATGAAGCGGCCATTTACGCCTGGAATTTCCCCTCCAGCGGAGCAGAGTGAAAAACATCTGGACACATGTGAAAAAGAGCTTTATAGCACATCGGATTCATCCAGTATAAATACATATTCTCATTCTGAAACACTGTATTCTGATTGTGAGTGGTTCGCGCACTCCGCTATGAACCTGGCCATCCGAGTTCGATTCACGGCCACGACTGATGACACCAATTGACCAGTGATCTGTGTCCCGCAAACTCGCGTAAACTCGTAAAGTCAAACAAACTCCCGTGGACGACGACAGGGTGTCCATATCGGGCCTTCATCCAGCAGTGGATTGACAGTGGCGTAGCCATTGAGTGTGCAAGGCGGGTCACAACTGACTCAGGGTCAACCCCATGGCTCTGGAAAGGCCGCCAAGGGGAGCGAACATGGACACGATGTCCTCTCGTTTCGTTCTGAGAACCAGAGGCCCATGCCAAACGTGCTTCGCTGCGGGTTTCAAGCATGTGATGGGGTATAGTGTTACCGGAGCATGAGGGATCTTGCGTGTGCATGGAACTCGGTCGTGTGGACAGCGCTTACAACTATGAACTATTTTATTTTGATTGGTGAGACCCACTTGAGCTATGTAGAAACTAATCGGCCGCAAATTATAGCTCGACTATGTGGCTCATGTAGAGCAGCCAAAAAGCAGAGGATCTGGAGAAAAATCCATGCGACCACGGGAAGAACATGGAAATTCAAAATCTCCGGGCGTCAGGGTTGGGATCGAACCGACAACCTGGACACCAGGCGAGGTGGTTAACATCTCGCTACCGTCGCGCCCAGCAATAGCAATGCCACACATGCCAAGCCACTTTATAGGGAGTTAAACTGTAGAAAAAAAAAGTTTAGGCAGTCAGCGATTATCTTCTAGGGTAATGATTATTCCACATTCTGCGAATTGAAAATTGGTTCCAAATTGTAACAAAAAAAAACTAATTGGGCGAGGTTTGCGAAAGAACGAAACTTTAACCGTCCAACGGTTACTCGAGGTCAACAATCACGTTTGCCGAGTGGCACAAGGTTGAACCATGTTGTGGTTCTGTGAAATATTATATGCATAAATATTGAACTGGGTCCCTTAAGGCGATTTGTCTATAATTAGCTGAATGTTGTGAATATATTGAAAGTATGGGGAGCGTTAAAATGACTCGCTGATATGATGTTGCACGTTATTGCATAAGCATTTCGCTCTCGGTTTGTTTGGGTTTGTTTGGGTATAGCATTGAAACGTGCTCTCCACGTGGCTTGGAACATTGATAACGCACATATGGCTTTCAACCACAAGCAATATAATTTTGTAACTAATAATGTGAAGGTGCAGCCCTGCAATTGCTTGCTCACGTCACTGCTGGCAGAAGAGCCTCCACCAAAGGATGCTTTAAAGAGCCCCTCTTGAGCCTATTTTGGCCTACTCCTCCATGCTGGTCAGATACCTTGGAAGAGGTGAGTTTACTCGCACATTACCCCAGGACGTGGAACCTGGCAATTGAATAACTGGTGTATCCATGAGTGGACAGAAGGGATTTAAGATATGACCAATTGTTTGAACAACAACACCGGGATTGTAAGTGCTGTGTGGTAACCATTACACCAGCGGTCGGGAACCTATGGCTCGCGAGCCATATATGGCTCTTCCGGTGACGGCATATGGCTCCCAGACAATTTTGAGTTGAAAAATAAAATAATAAAAAAATAAAATCAGTTTGGAACTGATTTTAAAATACTTGTGATATTGCTTAATAATACTGTGTCATTTTAAAGTAAACAGAAATTAGTTTTGAAGATAAAATTTCTCGGGTCACGGATCCCGTGACCAGAAGTCGCATTAAAAGTAAGACATTTAATTTATTATACGTTAAAAATACTATATGGCTGTCAATGAAATATATTAATAAATATATTGCGTTTATGGCTCTCCCAGTCAAAAGGTTGCCGACCCCTGCATTACACAATGATAGCATCTCATTGTTGATGCCTGCATTTCTGAAAAAAGAGCTATATAGCTCAGTGGGCCTTACCTGGTGAAATAAAAAGTGTCAATAGATTAGTAACTCGAGAAGCAAGAGTAGCACAATGATCCCCTTCCTGTGGACACGGACAAAGTGCATGGGGACGGTGACGATGCCAAAGGCGCCACCAATGACCTTCAACTCAAAAGCATTTAATTTTAAATGCAAACATCACTCAATAAAAGCAAACATATGCAAACCTGCCAGAACCATAGTCTCATTTAATTGTAAACAAACAAAATGTTTTCCTCAAAATAATTTACAGCACCGGACGCACGAAAAACGTACAAATGACAAAAACATATCAACAAAAACACACATTTAAGCAGCAAGCCGCGACAACACCACCGCTATTGGAAACCGTGATGGACGTTATTCATTCGGCGCACGACCGCGGAGAACGTTCAACGTCGCTGTCTGCAACCTACGCTTGAGGCACCACCAGGCTGTGTGACTTTAGGTGCGGCACTCCGAGAGCACTTGTTGACCGTGCTAGAAAGGGAGACGCCCTCGAGATGTTTAAAGTCACAATGCAGTGTTGCGGCGCGCACCCACCGAAGCTAGGGTTGTGCTCAAGGATGTGATGACTAAACGTACACGACGTACCGCCGGAGATGGGCATTCTCCGTCAGATGTGTACGTTTAGCACGTGGCACGTTTCACCTCCAATGTGAATAAGAGATCAACAGTCCCAAGTTTAAAAGTAATCCGAACTTTTTTAAATGTTGTGACCAATTTCATATGCTGTACATAACGACACGAAATGTCCAACAGTGGGTGGGTGGATGGGGGTACAACACTTTCACGTCCATGACGGTGAAGTGGCAAAAATGTTTAGATCGGTTCAACTTGGGGGTAAAAATAAAAAAGCGTAAAAAGTTATTTTAAGTTGAAACAATAACAATGTTGTCTCGGAAATAGTAGTGCACAAACGCGAGGTGGCCAACAGCCCCAGTCTGTCCACTCACACCACCGCTCCCCAGACTCAAACACGTGTGTGTGTTTTTGGTTGTGAGACTGCATAAGCAGTCGTGCGTGTCGAGGTCTATCAGAGCAGCTCGGAGATGGAGGCAGCGTTCCCGTTCTTTTCCAGGCTCATCAACATATCAAACGGCTTGATTGGCAGGACGAGACGCACGGTGGCACCATGGCAAGTGACCAACAGGTTACAACGCACCACATGCGGTGTGAATATCGTGTTTTGAATACTGAATGAAATGCATCCAAGGTGTTGAAAAAAAACGCAAAAGTTTTGTTTTTACATTTAGAATAAAATAATAAAATCAAGCATTGAGATCCATGTAAAAATGCCTTTCCGAATGCCTTTTGGTAATGATTTTTTTTTTATCAAGTATAGAATGTGAAAAAAACTAAGCTATGTACAATACATATTCACAATCGACTCTATAATATACATTCACAGCACATGTTTTTTCTATGTTATGGGCTGCACGTTAACGTACACCACAAACCATTCCTTGTACTACTGTTAGTATACCACTGCTTGTGCGAATGCAGCTTATAAAAACATTTTATATGCGGAGGTAAAATTCCACATGTTAATGCTAAACAAACACCACCACTTTCATATACCCTTGACAGGAAGGCATACTCTGTACAAGGCTTTAAATATATCAACCCAACCAGCACTTGAAAACGATTGCCCGTTAAAACAGTCACATGACAGCTTTTTTTCATCAATGAAACAACCCCAACTTGTTTAAACTTTAATATAAAATTTAATTTCGTGCAAGTGTCACACCTTGCTTAAATTGCGATTTGTTGGACGATATTGAAGATGGCACACTGGTGTTCATTTGAAGTGATTATTTATTCTGTGGACATAAAAGTTGGCATTGTTTTGCAGTGACCTCGCAAAGTGACATTTAGCACATTTTTTACATTTGCTCCGTCACAGCTTTCATATTTCTTTGCTACATCTCAGTTTGTAAAGAATACCTGTTGTAGAAATTACCTCTTGCTTTAAACTGAATTCACCACAAACCCTTGTACTTCAAACCACTATCATACAAGGTGGATGCCGCCTTACGGATCATATTTATTGTGACTGCTAAATTTGATTAAACCTGAACGTCACCTCGGGTAGTGCAATCGCCAGTGTCCTTAAAGCTTTTTCACGGTGTGTTTAAGGTCATAGAATGTCATACTATTTGATTCAGCATGTGTAAACGGGGGATATTAAGTATTGTAATACATCCAGGTCAGTGTTATAGCCAAATTGGATTTGACACCGCAACGAAATGTGTAAGAAAAAATATTCCTCACGTTAACACATCTTAAACACCGCGTTAGTTGTAGATATACAATATCTTACACTGTACACGACATGTGTATACATATATTTACACGTACGCAAGTTTATATATATATACATTTATAACCAAACACATTAGATTTCTGCGTGAATTCAATTCCACCTACTCTGACATAGTTACTATACAACAGCATCAACGGTAATATGTACACAATGTTTTTTTTATACGCATTAACCATGTTTACATGAAGGAATGATGCAATTTGGCCACGTGTATCTACAAAATCAAACCATAAACTCTTGAGATATAAAATAAGCATCTCCAACAATTGCACACGTCAACGTGACACCGTAATCCATCGCAACATTACAAACTTTGCACTCTTGCAAAGCGGTGCAATTTCTTTGCTGTCATTGCACATCATAAAATGTGGCGTGTCAAAGGTAGGCAGCCGCTCATGTCGTAGTTAACCAAACTCAAAGTGCATCTGTATAGAAAGATGCAAGAATATCCAGTTCGATTTGAATATTACTCAAAATAGGTGCAGCAATATGGTCTAGGATTTTGTCTTATTTTCTTGATATCACTCTCTAAATTATATACCAGTGCAGTTCCACCAACACACTTCACTCTCCTATTCAGTAGCACGTGACACTTTTCTTGCCATCTCACACATCCGTTAACAGACCATTAGTTGACTCGCCACACCTCCAGCCGTTCCCATTTTCGGAAAAAGAAAAACGTTCAAGTCGTTCCTGTGGCCACACGCGCAGCAGCAGCGTGACTTACAGAGCTTCACGGGGGAGCCAAATCGATGCTCTGGATTGCAGCCCTCTCTCTCTCTCTCATCCGCCCTGATCACTCTAAACCCCCTCGATAGTCAGCAGACACTTCCCAAAACCCATCTCGCCGTCGATTCTTTCATTGGCGCCGCCGACTAGTGACCATGCTTGACCCACGGCCGCGGGCTCAGCCGTTGAGCAGGTAGACCACGAGTTCGTAGGTGGCCATCATGATGGCCGTGTTGGGGATCTGCCGCAGCATCTGGGTGGTGAGTCCGCGGTAGAGGGCCCGGTAGCCCTCCTCCCTCACTATGAGGCACACGGTCTGCGGCAGCGTGCGGTAGCGAGAACCTTCCTCGCGCAGCCGAGTGCGGATCACCTCTGCACGCCGGCGGTGGAAGACACGGCAAGGGGTAGAGGAGAAGAGGGTGGTGGGGAGTGGGAATGGGGGTTGGAGCCACATGAGCCAGGGTTAGCTAACAAGGTAAACGCGTAAAGGTGCAGCCTTGCAATTACTTGCTAACGCTACTGCTGGCCAAAAGGGTATTCGAGGGAGCTCAAGCGAGCCTACTTCTTTCCATGCAGGCCAGATGTCTTGGAAGCGGTGAAAGTACCCACACTTCACCCCATCACAAGCGACCTGCCCATCTACAAACTGCGATGTATCCATGTACACCGCTGGGTGGACAGAAGCGAGGTGAATTTAGGAAACTTGGAACATTGCGTCAACTGCCGTACCGGGAGATGGAATAGAACCGGTGATTTCTGGATTGCAATTCCTGTCCTTGACCGTGACACCACGGCGTCGTCGGTGTAGCACTATTATTTTAATCAATCCCCAACACCAATGCGTGCATTCCATAACTCTTAAATATAAACGAGCATAATAAGACTGTATTTTTTGTTCTTCAACCTTAAGTCACTCATGTTTACCAATTCTACATTGTTCAAGGCTTGTATTGAATTCGATAAATAGACGACATAAAATTCGCCTGCTGTACCGCAAAGTCGCGAGAAACCTCCCGAACCTAACGCCGGATCCACAGTGACTATACTTTGAAACATTTACGCATCGTAGTGCCTGTATGAAACGCGTTTATAAAATGTCTACATCTACTCATCCACGCAGGTATAACGTTTGAACATAAATTTTTCAAGAGTGGGGTTGCCGTTCACTTGTTTTGCAGTGACATTTGTAAAACAGTTTAAGTGTCTGGAATGCTCTTCCTTCCGATATTAGGAAGCCACTGGAGCTATGCACTTTTAAATCATCTAGATTGAAAACTGATTTCTTGAGAACTGCTTTTTGTGTTTAAGTTTGTTGTCCTTCCCTCGCATCTGAGACCTCTGATTAGCACGGTGAGCTACTATGTACTGGCTAAAGAAGATAAACATACATGGGGGGGAGGGTGCAAGCAAGTTTCAAGCAAGTTTCGTGGTTAATCAACAATCTGTTACGCTCAGTCACAGCACAATCAGGGGTGGGTGTGGGGACACAGAGGACTCATGAGTTGGTGCAATTTGATAAGATAGTCATTTTGCCCCACACCCACAAATAAAAATAACTCAACCAACTGCCACAGGGGGTTGATTGAAGCTGACTTAGCAGTCTACCGTACATCCACCAGCTTGTTGAATTATTAACATTTCAAGTACAGAATGGTGGGGGGGGGTGTTCCATTGGTAGAATTTCCATAGTACATTACTATTCTATTCTTGCCTCAGGCAAAACGTTCAGGAGCTAAATAGCAATGTTAAGGTCTGCCAGCTACGAGATGGCTCAAGGAGTTCATGAAGTTTTGCTATTCCTCTTTCGCTGAAAGCGTTGCTATATTTAAGACCGAAACAGGCAGACTTCTTAGCAATTCTGGTTGATCGTCTGGCGAAGCTGGTTGTTGCAATCACGAGCGAAACGTCGTACTTGAATTGTAAATGCTGTGGGTTTACTCTCCAACACACTGGTGTGCTGAAGTAGTAACAAACGGGCACGTTTTATTTACGTGACAAACCTTACTAATTGGCTTGTGTCAGGTGGTGGCGGGTTTAACGACAGGTTCATGGTTACGTGATCTAACTCAAAAACACCTTAATTATGGATATTTGTCGCGAAAGCCTACGTGTTAAACAGACTACAGTAGTTTCCTATACGCCCCAAAATTTGGGTTGCCTGGCCACAAACACACGGCGGCTTGTCTTTAATCTTCCATTTACGGAGGAGATGCATGCATAGGCACATTGATTTTCTGATGGGGGTTGATGGGTTACACCAGTGTCTGACGTACAAAATCGCGAGCGGAAAAATTTGCTCAAATCAATGCGTGACCAAATTAAGACGACAACAGCGGTTCATGTCTATGGCAACGACGATGAAATCACAAACCGGCAACCGTCGCCCGTGCGAGATGTTATCTCCCTCGACTGGTATGCAGGAGGTCGTGGGTTTGATCCCGACCCCAACGCTTGTATATTCGGAGTTTGCATGTCTCTCCCCGTGGTCATGAGGATTTTACTCCGGGTCCCCGTTTTTCCTCCACATTTAGAACCACGCGGTTAGATTAATTGGCCGCGATACATTTCCACACGACAAGCCACTTCGTTGAGCTATCATTTGTGGCCAGGTCGTCGCTTCTGAAAAAAATAGCTAATGAGAACTCAGTGAGGGCATTACCTGGCACAAAAAAAAACTACTTTAAATAGTTTAGTTTCACCGTTTTCGTTCGTACCGTGCGGGTAGGCGATGCAGGAGGCGCAGGTCTTAGACGTGGCGGCCGCGCACATCATCCCGATGAAGTCGAACGCGTCCTTCTCCGACGAGGAGGCCCCGTCCTGGAGCTCGCTGCCGCCGTCGCCCGAGCCCAGGGGCCGCGCGCGACGCCTCAGGACCTCGCGCTTCAGGCTCTCGTAGATGACAAAGTGGATGATGGTCTCCGAGATGCCCGCGTAAGACGCCGACATGCCGCGGTAGAAGCCGCGGGGGCCTTCGCGCTCGTACACGTAGCGCACGCACTGCAGGGCGCTCATGGCGCGGTCGCCGCGCTGCCTGCCAGACCGCGAGAGCGAAAGGTGCAAGGCCGCGTTAGGAGATGAACAGATAAACGAGAAAAATATCATTTTTTTATTTTACTGGGTAAGGCCCACTGAGCAATATAGCTATGTCAGAAGCCACCTGGCTATTACAAATGACAGCCCAGCTAAGTGGCTGAGCATCGTTTGGAAATATGTAGCAGTCAAATACTGCCCTGGTGTCGTGCATGGCTAGCACACACTGTGGACGTGCAATCCAGAAGTCACTGGTTCCATCTTCTGACGCGCCAGGTGAAACAATGGGCAATTTTTTCAAAGTCTGTCCTGTCTCGGACGACCCAGCAGTTTAAATGGGTAAATAAACTGTGGGCACACACGCCCTTTGTGTCAAAACGACTTGCCAGCGTAGAAGAGGAGGCCAAAATACCCTCGCGCTCCATATCGGGAAGGCCCTTCCGCCAGGAGTGAGGTGAGCAAAAAAATTGCAGGGCTGTACCTTTACCTTTTAAGAGATTAACATCTTATTACTAAGCATGTTTCTGGATTAAACAGAGAATTACTCTCAGGATACACGTGTTATTGTATCGAGCATGTAAGAAATGATAACTTGACAGTTTGTGCAAATTAAACATGCCGATTTTATATTAACGTAAATGGAGTGAACTAAAGTCTATAAACAAGACGCCATCACCACAGATTCATGCTCTGGAGGGAAGGATGATGTTTTTCATGCCATGTGTTTCAAATTTGGGAGCCTCTTAATATTCATTCGTTTTTAAAGTTCTTAAAACTCAACATATGATTTAACGACACCTTGGATGGACTGCAGCTACATCAACTCGAGTTTACCATCACAAGCATAGCAACAAAAAAATCCAACGTTTAAAAATATACATGTCCCGAGGTAACCACGGGTGACCAAGGTGTACTTTGTCAGACAGAAATTCAATATCAGTGAGGCCTCGCCTGACGAAACAAAGGGCACCGATTTGTACCCGAGTGTCGTAATCAGCTGGCTGGAACACGAAATAACAATTGTCCATTATGTGTGCTGTCGTAACTTCCCTGTGCCCAGCACTACTCGATTTTAAACTCATTTCTTTAGAACTGCATTTTATGTTCAGTTTGTTGTTCTTGCCCCCTGCACCTCCGATTAGCAAGGCTGGCTACATACAGTGCGGTAGAAGTTATACGTACATACTACTGTGTCTTTACAGAGGTAGTTTTAAGATACAATGGCACCACCATCTGCTCAAAGGCATTCCTTTGTGTGTGCACTATTCAGGGTCAAGCACAGTATTTCCAGTGCTGGCTTGAACAAACAAGTATACTGCACTCGTGTGCCTTTTGAAGACACAGCCCAATCAGATGATAATAATCCTAGCCCCCCTAACGCACATCCTCAAAGCCGGGTATTGCATTCGAATTTTAACCAATTGTCCACAAATGCATTTTTCTCTTTCGTCTCATTTATCATTTCTGATATCAGTTGTGTGATGAGAAGACAATTCCATTCAAAACTCTCGCAATGCAGCTTCACTTGCTGCTCTGACGTATCAAACCCAAATATGTCTGGTATATCATTTGGTTTGCCCGAACATCAAATGCAAGTGTTATAAGTATAGCAATTACAAACTTGATTCAATAAAAATGTCAACAATAATTTTCGGGAAAGCATACTGGTAATTCAATCCTTTATTTACCAAGGTGAAAAACTCATCAAAATGAGAACAATAAAATAAAAATATATAAATGTTGTATTTTAGTTACGTAGTTTTAAAGTTTAGTAATATGAACTTGTAACAACTTCTGCCCTCTAATTTTTCATTCACCATTCAGTAGCTGAAGAAGCTCCCAGTATGAAGACCGAAACATTCAAACTCGTACTGGGCAACACACGGTAACATCAGAGAGTTTGGCCAGCAGAACACACATTCTGCCTCCAGCAAAATACATTCCACGTATTACTGCGAAATAGCAGTTCAACTTCAGGTCAAGCCACGCCAGGGGGGAGAGAGAATGCGCACAACGGCAAACCTGACAAGTGGTCACAGGGGAAACAGCACCGCCGAGGCTTACCGAGCATTGAGCTGCATGCGCGTCTTGACCAGCCAGATGGGGTTGGTGGCCGTGATGGCAGAGAAACCTGCGTGACGGATACGCGAGAAGGCGGGTGTCAAAAGCAGCGAGGTCAACCGACAAATGCCCCAAGCGGCTTGGTCGGCCACAGTGTCCTCTCGCTCAGGCTCATCGTGAACGGGGTGATGCGATCAGTCAAACCGAACACAAATGTCAACAACTGTTTTGGTAATACTGCACTGGCAGTGATGGTGCGCAAGCAAATAGAACAAAAAACCTCAACATTCCCTCAATACCACTGCTCTAAAGATGAAAAAACATAAATATAATAGGCAACATTTCAGGCAATGGCCCACCTTGACACCTTTTATCTATTAACACACTGCCTGAAAAATGCAAAAAATACATAATAGGCAATGGCCCTTTTCTTAGTAGCCGAGTTGATTGAGTGACATTGCCAAAAATGTCACCGATTATTTATTTTCACTCCCCTATGGCGGTGTTTTTTTTTGGATAATACGTCTAGTTTTGGAAAGCACAAATACGAGTTGGTCCACCCGCCTTGGTCTCCGCATGGCGACCACGGGGTTTTATGCCCAGTTGTTATCGTTAGTTACTCTTAAATGGGTTATTAAAGCCCCCCCCCACCGCTATCAAGTCCTCGCCAGATAAACCAGAGTGTGGCACCAGATGTTGTACCTAACGACCATGCTGTCCTTGCCATCAACGCATGCAATGTGACGTTTTACGCCATCTGTGTTAAAAACGAGTTCGTTGAAAACTCCTGATGCTACGGATGTGTGTGGTTCGATGCGGGAATTCCAAGTTTTTAGCAAAAGCAAAGCAAATTAATTAGCCTTCATTTTCCCATTGAAACAAAATGATTTTACATAATATGAAAGTGTTGACATAAAATGTGAATGGCAATTACAGAAATTTTAGATGCTTTAGAAAACATATTTCATGCCCTTGAGTACATGGAGTTATATTGTGATGCCCAAATAGAAAGCCTTCCAAGTACTCGCTGAAATTCAACGTCACCAATCCGAAAGACCATCGAGAGTGATATGATGTATGTTTAAATGACCAAAATTACAATGTTTCAGGACTAAGTGAGATTGGGCTAACAGCAAGCAATTGTTTCAGAGGCCGACACATCATAATGGGAAATTGAAAGCCCCATCTATGTATGTTGAATTTCTTTCGCACCGTACGTAGCTAATCATGCTATTCGGAGGTGTGCATTGCAACACGGCACTCCTTAATACAGGAATACGAGCAATGCCACCAGAACAGAGGCTTGCTCTCATGAACGATATCACAGGGTATTTTGACGCCCACGGCACAGCATGACCATGTGGATATGGGAGTCAACTGGTGTGGAAGAGCAGGCCTATTACCCTCTAGAGGAGCTCTCTAGAGCCTCCCTTGCCCGCTCTATTTGGAGGTACTTCTGTCTGCAGTGACACGGGCAAGCATGCAAGTGACATGCAGGGCTGTACCTTTACCTTGTTAAACGTTACCTATGGCATTCAAACGTACGACTGGTGAATGCGCTCATTGCTAAGCAACGCAGCAGTCACTGCCGCTCGCTCGGGCTAATATGTTTGTTCCATTAAGTTACCCCCCTTAGGAGGGTGTGCATTAGCCCATCGACTCGTCATGTCCTGACACGTGCGCCGTCGCGGCGGGCTGAGTGCTCGTGTCATTATTTTAAGGGGATAGTTACAGGGGTGGTGACGGTGGGGGAAGAGCACGGGGGGTGAGCGAGGAAGGCAACGCAGTCGCAAGCACAGCGGTGCCGGCACGGTACCCACCCAAATGAGCCGAGCGTTGCTCACTAGCCGTGCAGCAAGCGCAGCGAGCACACGCACAGTGCCGCTAAGGAAAGTCAACAACACAAACCGGCAAACGGGAACACACATAGACACACACGCGCGCACCATCAGCGGAACGGGATGGCTGGAAAAAAGCATCGTAGCGTTAAGTCGGCCATTGGTTTATTTTTACATTCGTTGCAGTTGCTATCGAATGAAAATACCGGTTCGTGGATTTATTTTTCATTACAAATAAGCGATTCATTTTAAAGTGCACATTGTACAGCTCTTTGCAAATCTGCTGGATGAAAGCATAACCATGCCGGGTTGGTGATTTGGGGTTGTTTAACCATGCTTTGTCACTATATACTGCTCATTTAAAAAGAATGCTGGATGATAGGTTACCATTTTTAAAAAGAATGAGGTGCATTAGTCCGCAAGTTTCTTCAACCAAGCCACACTGATGAGGTTGGGGAATCATGGTGAAACAACTCCGATTGACATGGGAGTGGGGATGTCTTCATCCAGCAGTGGATATACAAAGGGATGCAAAATATAATTATTAAAATGTGCCATTTCACAAACATTTGAGGATTTTCAAGACGAACCTCCATCGCCCTTGGGGTGTAATACACACCATTCTGCTTATATTGGGTCAATTGTCAAATAATTGCTCATTTATGATTAGATTAACTTTCCAGACATCCCATTTTACATTCCGAAGCAACTCCTAACAGATTAGATTAAATACAATAGCATTAACAATCACGACATGGCAAAAATGGCGAAGCGATGTGTAATATTGCCATGGTGTCCTTTGGCAAGCACTGCCACGTTTGTGTGCATAAAGATGAAGCCAAATCAAGCATTCACGGGGTTAAGCACAATATTTATCATACTCTTAGGTTTTTTCGGTAAAGTCACGTAGGGAATAAAATTATAATAAAAATAATAGAAATAAAATAATAAATCACGACGTTTCGGAGCCAACACAAGTCTCCGTCATCAGGTGGGACCGTCACAACTAAATTTACTGTATCAAGTTCACTTGATACAATTTCTTTTTTTCCCTACGTGACTTTACCGAAAAAACCTAAGAGTATGAATCCTTGCAGTCACGAAAGCTTCAAATCTAGAATATCTATCATGCAAACAATCTGCGGCGGGTGTAATTGTGGTCATGACGAAGCAGCAGGTCAATTTCCGTTAAACTCGGAGCAAGCGTGTTATGATGGACCCTAAACGGGTGAGCAATGCGTCGTTTTTACATCTTCCATTCTGTCAGTGCAGCGAGAAGCCTTCCACAACATGTTTACGTAGCAGATGCTAGTATATCGAGTGGCGGGCTATTCCTGTAAAGTGCCATAGAGTGTCGCTGCAGCGTTAGGTTTGCACAGGCTCCATTTATAGAAATAGAGCGGAGAGGAATTTAATAAGAACTGATCGACAATATGCAGTGTTACGTAATGGGCATACAGGCATCTTGGACGTGTAATGACAACGTAAATCGGCGCAAACTTTAAAACTAATATTCCGCGAGAAAAATAAGCCGCGCATGCCCGCAAGAATGCGAGAGGACTAAAAGGCACTAGGCTCTAAGCGGATGACGTGTGTATCAGGTTACAGCTTGCACACAGATCGATAGTTAAGGCGCTTTCTAGAAAATTAATCGCATCCCTTTATTGGCTGTACGGCTTAACTGCAATAAGCTTTCTGTTTTTCCATTCTCTGTGTGACAGATGTAAATTATAGCAACCTCTAAGCCAGAATCCTGATTTGTCTAAACCAACAAGTCTCTTGGTTTGCCCAAAGCCTCGATGGGAAATGCTAATACAATGTTACAAACGACTGATCATTTACTGGAAACATTTTTTTAGCTTTCTTAAAGTTTACGTTTAACACTGGGCTATTCAATTATTGTATTTGATGGGGTTAATGCCAGATAATACAAGCAGTATTATTTTCTCCTTTCTATTTCCATGCATACCAATTCACCTATTTTATATCGTCTCCCTCTGAAAAGACGTAATGGGAAATTATACTCGCTAAGTAATACACGCTATGCGTACTGTATTGTGAAATTACTGTAAAACGTTATTATTTTAAACGTTAATGTATTCGCATTTCACATGCAAAATTAAAACCAAAATGCAATATTATTACAGAATAAAGAGCCCACACTAATGCCGAATGCCCACTCCTACCAAAGCATTGCTTCTATCCAAAAGCACGAACAAATAAAGTCAACGGCGAATGTGTGGCTTGGCACGGGACACCGAGCACAGCTAGGTGTGGGTTTGGTGGTGCGTGTGGCTGCCCAAAGGAGCGAAGGGAATTTAAACCGAGCGGTTTGCGTAAGAGGCCTCCCACGCCTGTTGCCTGTTCCTTGTTCCGTTAGCGGTAGTGGCAAAGTGAGCCGCAACTTGTTTGCGGACACCGTTCACAATCATTTCGGTGTCGCTGCGCTAATTCCTGGCACGGGCAGAACAAGGTGGCCCCTTTTTTCCATCTCATGTTTATGCTGACCCAATGGCACGATATGTTCTGTCACCATCTCGCTACGCTCTACTGAGCAGTCCTAAATTAATTAAAAAGACAGTGGTGGCTTTTATTCATGAACCATGAGAGGGCCCTTGAAAAAGTTTTGTCTTACCGTAAATGCCAAAACTATTCAAAGTATTAATTTTAAAATATCGCACTTACCAGCAAACGCAGCTGAGCATATGTGCACTGCTGTTGATTCCGCCACAAACACGGTGTTCAGCTTTTCCTTGGCTCCAGAATAGGCTGCGAAGTAAATAGCCCTGAGACACAACCATTGGAGGCGGTCAATACTTGGAACCTCTGTACAACATTGCAGTAGGTCTGGTGCAGCATTGTGAAAACCAACTGTAAAACAACACCAGTGTCGTAAAAAAATACGTGAAGGGCGCAACACGTGCAATACAAAAACAGCATCGACTTTGGATAAGTCGGCATCAAGTGTGGTTTGATAAATAAACTTGCAAAAAACACCACAAACCACGAATTACTGTGAACTGGTGTTAATGTTGAAAAGGGGCCAATATAGTGCAGTTCTCTGTACAAACAGCAAGTGGTTTAATAAACCCAGCTTTACTCACGAGCATTCAACCACAGGTGAATACACACCAGGTGTACACATTCCCACGATTGTGTATGTATGGAGAACTTCTTTTGCATCGTACGTAGCCAACCGTACTAATCACAGATGTCCTTGTGAAGAAACGACATCTGCGAGTTCCTACGTGGAGACTTATATGTGTGGAGCCAGTCGTGACCAGTACCTGGAAGGAGCCACACCGACCAGGTTTGGGCCCAGACCCCGGAATAAAGAGCGAGGGCCCTCATTCTCAAAGATGGTTCTAAAGAAACAACAAAATACAATGCAAACCGGTTAGTTGGCAGCATCCACAGCAACAATGAATGCTAATACCATAACGATATGAACAGAAAAGCTAAAGTACACGAGCTTGGAGCATATATATAAGCTGGGTTGAAAGGGGGGGAAAGGGCGCTTTGACAAAGTAATTAACTTTTTTGGTGTAGCCTGGAAATCAACTACTTCTGGGTTGTGTGAAGTTGTAAGAGCACCAAAGTCAGAATTTGCCAGCTTCAAACAAACACAGCTGGAAAACAAATGTTCAGAGAGTTTGGTTCACAGGCTGATGGACTCAAAATGTCACTTTTATTTTTAAACGCAACAGAGATGCCTGCAAATGTATTCATTTTACAATCCAGTCTACTAAGAAAGCAAAAAAAAATATTTTACATAATTATTTCTCATTCCATGAGGCATTGTTAAATCCTTTATATTAAGTTCGCTTGCTTGCTTGCGTGCTTGCGTGCTTGCTTGCTTACGACCGTGCAAATCTTTCGGTCGTTTTTTAACCCACTTCCCGTGATCCAATCGAGCTGACATTTCGCACACAGACTCGTTGTGCGTGACAATTAATTTTTGTGAAATTTTTTTTCTCCAAAATTTTACACTGTTTAGGGAAATTTTTTAAAATATTTAATTACCAATTGCTTAATGCTGCCAGACAATCATCTGACCCAAAGGTGGCAGCGATCTCAAGCCAGAGGACGAGAGGACTCTAGCCGCCACGCATATAAAGGATTTAGAGTGAAAAACTTTGTTTTTACGGGTTAAATTTTTTCCCCATTCCCACCACCTTGTAAAGGTTTTAAAAGCCAAACTAGTGCGCGCAAGTGTTGTTGGCACACTTACTCAAGGCCAAAAAGCATGGACAATTGGATGCAGTAGATGTCTACATCCTTTTGTACACAATGGAATGCACCAATTCCCCTATGCAAAGGGTGAGCACCACATTTACATACAATCGCACTGCAGCTGCTCATTCACGTTTACATACCACAAAGCCAGATGAAACTGATGAAGTATGACATTGGGAAATGTGTAGTTACAACACGTTATTTTCTGAACGGGTTTACGTTGCTCTTCTCTTTTGGGATTACCACATGCAGTATCAGGATACAATAAATGAAGTGGAGATGTGGTGATTTTAAAGTAAAGTCATTGGAGGTATGTTGTTCCAAGTTTATGAATAGCAAACAAACAATTAGGTCAAAAGACAATGAAGCCTCCTCTATCAATAGTTCACACACTTGCATCTTTAAGAGATGAGCATCATCCATTAATTAAACCAGTGCATACAAGACTCATTAGAATGTGGTGAATAATTAAAACCATTCAACCATGTGGGTGAAAGGGCATAAGCAAAAGGTTACATTAACAAAAAGTTAATAAAACAAATCAGACAACAAAGAGACAAGCTAGAAAAGAACTCAATCCATTTTGGGAATGTGCCTCTGGTTAAATTATAACAGCAGCTCCCCCGGTATTTTGTTAACACAATTCTGGATCTCGTGACAGTGCCTCGAACACTAGTTGCTTTGTTCCAATTGCGATGCAACCGAAATTATTTCCAAGTAAACCGTTGAACAAAAAAAATATAAATATTGCGCCCTCGTGGGCATCGGGTTTGCCGTTGCCAATTTGCAAGCTTTGGTTCCACTTGCTTGGAACCCAACCAAGAGTGTGAGAGGTAAGATGCGCATGCACACGTGCACAGGCGCGCGCTTATTCGACGATGGCAGCCAACTGGAGGAAGAGATGCGAAATCACGCGCAGTGCATGCGCCGGCCATGCGCCACGCAGCGTGGACATGACAAAATACGAAGCGCAGGCTGCGGAGTGTATCCAGCGGACACGTGATACCGCCATGTTTCCAATTACCACTCTTTGGTGGTGAAAGGGGGTGGGGGTAAATTCAACTTTTAAAACTCTGCAAAAAAAAAATTAAATGCTAAATGCTACGTCTACAAATACTTTGAGAAAAAATGTTCACAGAGCAATGTGCCTAAAATATGCACAAAATATCATTATACGCTTTATTTTATTGCAAGATGCTTATTGTAACGCTTAGAATTCATGAGCTTAATTTAGCATTGCATGAGCAACACCAAGAAAAAAAATCGGGAAACCATTGCCGACCTGATTACAAAAATAGAATAGTATTTGGTTGTGTGATTGCTTGCTACACACACCAGTTGCACCTCTGATTAGCACGGTTGGCTAATCACGGTGGAAAAAAAGTTTCAACATACATTGACTGAAGGCCGAGTAGCAATATTTTTCAATATTAACACGCATTTTTATGGAAAGAAAGTTGTTCCATCATCATTAAACTATTCAACTTTTTTTTAAGTGGGTTTGTTTGTCCGTCATTCTACGTTAAACTCGAGACCCAAAGACAGTAAAACGATGCACCGCTGTGTACACGGCCGAGATGGCACCAAGAGTACTGCTTTGGTCTGTGTCGCAAAAAACCTTTGCAGAAAACAAATCAGAATCTTTATTTATCCTGGAGAACAACGATGAGCGATGAAGCTACTATATTTTCACAGATGTCCAATAGAGGCGGGTGAGAAATCGACAAGGCGAGCTTGTCATAACAAGGACAGCATACTACTCTACGAGCTGACTGTAAGAATTGTTGTAACCACCACACTCTTTTCGATTTAAAGCTTTCGTGACTGCAGGGATTCATCTTCTTGGTTCTTTCGGTAAAGTCACGTAGAAGGGAAATAATAAAATTACATTTTATTATGTTACATTTTTTTTATTTTATTATTTGCCTTCTACGTGACTTTACCGAAAGAACCAAGAAGATGAACACCACACTCTTGTATGCCTTTCCGGAAACAAAGCGTTACTACATTGCATGCCCAACAGAACCATGTACAGTAATTCTAGATTTGAAGTTTTCGTGACTGCAAGGATCCATACTTTTTGGTTTTTTCGGTAAAGTCACGTAGGTAAAATTTTCTTTTAAAGTGATTTAATTTAGTTGTTTTCATTTTATTTAATTACATTTTTTACCTACGTAACCATGTACACTGCAAACACCACCTTCTACCAATGATAAAAGACGTTCAAGCTCAATACAAATAAATCTTCACTTTTTTTATTTGCAATGTTGCCATTTCAGGGCTATCAATACAAGCGCTAGGATGACTGATTAATGGAAGAAAAAAAACAGTTTCCAATTCCCTGGACTGTATCAGCCACAAATGACATCATCGCTTTAGTTAACACACATTGGACATGTCACCGCTAGCCTCAAGACTGCTAATTAGCACACTGTCGCTACAGATTATGTCCGTCGATGTAGCTGCAGCGGGCTTTTTTAGTTTGGTTTTGTGTGTTAAGCTCGGTGTTTTATTGCACATTTATACGGAATTGAAGATGAGGTGCCATTTCACTCGGGACGAATCTGCTGCAGTGAGGCGATGTATTGATTCAGATATTACAAACGTGCTTACTTTAAAAAATGTACCGTTGTGATTGCTAGCCCTTAACGTGTGCCTACTTATGCTTACTCTAAGCTCTAATTATCAGTTCACTAGGTATTGCAAGTTCTTTTTCTATTGTTAAGCCTTCATGGGTATTTGTGCCTACTTCCGTCCTTACTAATACAAACAATTGACACTCAAGCATATTTACACACGCTACATTAGGTACAAGAGTGCGTATTAGTGTTCACTGAAGTAACCTTCAAGTGAAGGACAGCATTAAATAAAAAAAAACTTTTTTTTATTTTACCAGGTAAGGCCACTGAGCTTCCTAGCTCTCTTTCAGAAGTGACCTGGCCTACAAATAATAGCCCAACGAAAGTGGCTCATCATGTGGAAATGTATAGCAGCCAAATACTCCAAACGCATGTTTCTAAACGTGGAGGGAAAAACCGGAGGACCCAGAGAAAAATCGACGCGACCACGGAGAAAGACACGCAAACTCCAAATATACCGGCGTCAAGAGTCGGGATCGAACCTACAACCTCCTACATACCAGGCAAGGTAGTTAACATCTCGGGGGGGGGGGGTGAGGGGACTCGCACAACACGTGCGTGTGTTTATGGTCATTCAGTAAAGACCCTACCAGGGGCATGTGCACACAGCAGGTGTTGCTGGCTTCACGTGGTGAGAATGCAGCACTGATAACAGAGGCTCTTGCTGGCTTTTTCCAGCTGTTCGTGCGCATCTGACCCGAGAGAGTTGCTTGTTGATTATTAAGAACACCGCCTCCCCCTTCAGACGGATGTTTGTCATTCGCAACCAAGAAGAGCTGTTCACGTTGTTTCAGAGCACATTGTTTCAGCTCTTAAGCCCGAACGTTAGCATATGCCTGGTGCCAGTAGATTCTAGTTGGCGTCAAAGGTAACATGGACAAGAACCTTGGGTGTATATTTTTCAAGGCGGTGCTGAATTACACAGCAAATTTTAACCATCGACACAATGGACAACTGCAATATAGCAATATAAGAAAAAAGTACGGAAATAATGTATTATCCTTAATATATACATCAAAACTAAGGCTAAGATGGCCAAGAGATGGAAAATACAGCTATCGATTTGAAACAGTGTAAGAGTTCCCTTTACATAAAGTGTTTTCTCTGGGTACTCTATTCACTCCACAAAGTCATCGTTAACGAGGCTGACCAAAGCCACCTCCCAACGCAGGACCCTAAAACAACAGTCTGGATGGAGACTTAGCGAAGCTTAAATAACCTTCACTCTGAAGACACTAGAATCCAAATCGGAAATGACTTCCTACTGGAGCAATATACGAAATAAACCTCATGGCGGCACCCCGGGGTACCATAGTACCCCGGCTCTCGCATAATGTCCCTGATGCAATCGTTTTTAGTCTGTTGATGGTCGGCGATGCGGCAATCGACTCGTCTGGACGAGCTGTGCACGATGGTGCGTACGAGCGTTCGGGGTTTCGGCGCAATCGTCCTCGCTGCGTTTCGACATCGCGGAGTAGCACCGATGTCGGATTGATTGGTACCCCAGTTGCGGAGTTAAGTACACCCCTGGGAAAAAAAGTGTCCCAGAAATAACATATTTAATTGCCTCAGTCATTTTGGATTATTTGGTTCCCCCGGGGTACCGCCATGAAGATCAAATCACCAATGTGGCCAACATTAAAGGAACTATCTATTTAAGAAGAGACTTTGGAGACATGAGAAGTCTCATGTCAACAAAGGCGATGGCCACCTTGGTGTGGCGTCATCGTAATGCAGCATTTCTTGCTTTAAAAATTACGCAATGGATCAGGCGAGGCGAGCAAGCCACACGTGTTAATATTGACAGTTACAGAGAGCCATGTTTTGTATTTGCGTTTATGAACAGCTCTGGCAAGTTGATCAAGAGGAAGTTAAATGTTTGGATATGTATTTTAGGCACTGAAAACCACGTTCTTCAATGTAAACAATGATGATAATTCGGTTTAATATATCTCAAATAACCGAGAATGAGCTTCGAGCGAATCAGTAGGGTACAGCTGCAATAAGCCTTTCAAGAAATGATTTCAATGTGTATTCAATACAATTAGCATCAACTTTCTTACAAATTGCACAGTGAAATAATTTTGGTGAAAGGCAACTTTATTGTCCAACGGTGGTTTGATACTTGTATGGACAACAGGAGTGCATACGCAATGACACCGATATTTGTCACACGCGCACACTTAACGCAGACCGTGTCTTTGAAACGTAGCGCCTTCGGGATACCGAACTTACTTATAACGACTTAAATGCAATCACTGCTTTAACTCAAAACATCGCACGTGCCACGGCACATCTTGAAAAGGCACGTGTGTTGTTTTCTGAAGGGAAAACATCACACGTTTGGTAAAGAACATTTTATGCTGGGGGCAACTAATTCACTTACACTCTAGTGGCCCCACCCAAATAAGACATTGGCTTCGATCAACTCAAGTTTAAAAACTAGATTGTTAAAAACAGGGGAGCTGTTGAGTAATGGTGTTACACAACTTGGTTTAAACAAATCACACAGGATTGTGTGCTTTGGGTAAGACATTAAATGTGTATAATCTATATTTATATGGTAAAATTGCCCTTTAGACGACTAAGTATGAGAGTGGTGTTTGTCTCTGTTAGTATACAGACAAATGGACAGAGAATTGAGCTACGTGGTCACACACCACATCACAAAGGATCTGCGTAATCAGTAAACGTCTCCCACTAACATTTCCTAATGCAGCAACGTAGGGTTTTGTTCTTATGCAAGTGTTGTGGAATGCAAACATGACTGTACTTGTGCGACTTGGCCAAAAAGCAGAAGCATTCTTCCTTTCAACTTTATTAATTTTAATTCACAAAACTAATGAGAAATATGAATGTGCATTAGATACACGTGAAATTTCTCAAGAAGCTCCCAGCCACATGCAGCGAAACATTGGACATCACGCCAAACAACATGCAGTGCAACGCGAAAATACATCAGGGAGCTAACACTAAATTCAAAACGTGTCTATCTGCTGTATAGACCCAGAGATTTTACAATGTTGTTTAAAGAAAGTCCAGCCCCTCCTTTGAAAGAGTTGTAACTTCCAAACTGATGCAGACAGCACTCAATTTACAACTGGAAAAGTTACGCTTTCAAAGGATGTCCACTACCCTATAGCAGATTGGGCTTTGGTATTGCCCGGTAGATAATTAAAAGTGATCCAAGGTAAACTGGGTCATTAGCAAACAAAACCAACGAGTGGTGGTTCATAGGCCGTCTCACTTGCCAGTGCAATACTTTAAAAGTGAAACAGCACATGGTTGCGGTCTCCAAGGAAACCTTCATTCACAGTTTATGAACCGAGAGAGTAAGCCAGCATTTTGAAGGTGTCACTTGGGAGTATTTGCATTAACAGCAATTTAACAGTGTAAAATGAGAAATTAATGTGTAACACGTACACTTTCTCTTCCAGTATTATTCATAATAAAGTTTTTTTGTGTTAGATCGCGTAAGTATAAATGTGTCGTACTTCTCCACCATCCGACACAGCCAGCAAGGTTGTTCACGTAAACATCGCGCCAATTAGTGACTACATCATCCCACCGGTGTGTTAGAGAGTATATCCGCAACATTTATAATTTGAATACGACGTTTCGCTGGTAATTACCGTACATCCAGCATCACCGGGCGATTCAACAAATCGCCCGATGATGCTGAATGTAATTTGCCAAAACACCCGATGATGCTGGAGGTAATTACCAGCGAAACTTCGTATTCAAATTGTAAATGTTGCGGATATACTCTCCAACACACCGGTGGGCTGATGTAGTAACTAATTTGCGCGTTGTGTACGTGACAAACCTTACTGGCCGTGTCGGGTGGTGAAGAGGTACGACATATTTATACTTACGCGATCTAACCCCCCAAGAAAATACTTTATTAAAAAAAAAACTTTATTAGGAGGAATGTTTATGTCATCAGGCACCCTGGCATAAGTTTTCACTGAAAGATGCACCATGTGATCCGCTGTCACAATCGTGCACTGTCCAAAGTCCACATCCACCTACCCATGGGAGATAAACGATAGCAAAAGTCGCACACACCTTTAGAGCTATAAACACCAACAGCGAAGAGTAAACTAGAAGGTGCAAATGCCGTACTTAGCAGAAGGGGAATGGGTACACACTGTTGGGGGTCACAGTAGAGTAATAAACTAAACTTAGCCTTAGCCCAGCATTAGCAAAACTAGCCAATCAGCTCCGTGCACCATGCCTAACTTGGCCCTACATCTAACAGAGATTTGATTTAATAAAAAGGGGGTTGGATGCTAAACCTAATCCATTTTCAAGTAAATAATGCCTCCTTCCTTTTTTACATATATCCATCAGCCATACGGCCTTCTGGGAGTGTACTTATCAGCAGCATTGGTTCAATACAAGCACACTCTGGCCCGGTTTCAACATTCAATGTCTCTTCAGCAGCCAGGCTTGCTTGAACCAATGCTGGTGAACTCTCAAATGTTTTATGGTAAAGTACACATATAACTGTTCGTTTCGGTGATTTGCAATGTATGCATGTTTCACTTCTGTTGCACCGTACGTAGCCAACCGTGATAATCGGAGGTGCGGGAAATGCAGGGTGCAAACGCACGGTGCAAAGAAATCGTCTCTTTACAGAGTGCACAGACAGCGTCATGAGCTCGTCGCGATCACGAGGGCCCCTCACTTGAGACAGAGTAGTGGGCTGGGAGGCGTGGAAGGCGCTGCTCGGGCGAAGGCGGCAGGGTTCACCGAGGAGACCGTGGACAGGCCGAGCTCGTGCAGTAAGACGTGCGAGCTGTACACGCGGCTCGCTGTCCCGGACACGGTCGATAGTGACATAACGCCCGACGACTGCAGCCTCGTCTTCACCACCTCAAGCGGGCACGTCAGGATGGCACCCACCGTGCCGCCACACCTGCAAAGGGCGGACACCGCGAGAGTCAAGCCGATGACTGGCGAGGTGGCGACGAGGGTAGGGCAAGGAAGGTGGGTGTTCGTGCGTGGATCTGGCAAGGTTCATTCCCCTTCACCTGCATGGTCCTACTTTGTGGGACCCCTAGCCATGCCAGTAGTCTCCAGTATGAGAATCACTACTGCACTTCACAATGTTGTGTTGTTCATCGGGGTTGTTTGAACATACTTCACCAAGTTAGTCAGTGTGAGCTGGTGAAGGTAGAGGGCAGGCCAGGTTCAGACGTTACTAAATCAGTGACTGTAACCCACAGAGGAAATAAATGCAGGTCACCAGGTTCTTAGCTAATCACGGTACCATCACTCCACCCCACAATATAAGTAACCATAAAAAGGGTAATGATTATTTGAAGGAAAAAAAATAAACACCCCAAAATAAGGTCAGAATAATCAGTGCATGGTGCGAACTTCAGTGAATGGGTTTAAAGGTGTCATTACGGTCAATACATTCAAACTAAGCGCTGGGACTGGGAAGAAATTTTACTTAACCTCCAAAATAAACCATCCTACCAGTAATGACTGAAAAGGTGTTTTTGCAATGATTGTGCTGTTTCAAAGCTTACTAAGCAGATATTTAGTCAGCAAAAAGAGCGATTATAATCCTCCAGCTATATTAGAGTATCCTCCCTCATGTTGGCATAAAGGAGTCTTGCAAGATTGTCATTTATTAAAAGTGCAGTACTCGTTTCTCTTGCTGTGACTCACGCGGTTGGCACCAGCTACAAACCAGGGACCCCCCTAAAAGCTTGACTTAAGCCGGACATGGAAACAGTGTTGCAGGCTACATGCAGCTTAGAGCCATTAGACCATAATGAATGCTCAGATTCTCGTCTTTACTGGCTAGTCAGCATGTTGCCCTGTAGATTAAGCCGCATTCATCTCTTGAAACAAAACGAGCACCGTTGGCTACTTACGGTGCGAAAAAAGTTCAACGTACATATTAACTCATGTGTACCCATCACTGATGCCAGCATATCACACCGCTGCATTTCATTTTTGTTTTACATTGGAGTTCTACTTAAAATTAACCGGAATACATAATGAACTGTGAAAATAACAAGCCACAAAATGCATTCCTGAATTACGACACTTAATATATACTGAGGGGTTAAATGGAGAGCTGATGGTGTGTCGCGCGTGGTTTTAGCACAACAAACAACCACACATTCTCGGAAACGTCTAGAAACGGCGAGGGTGCAAGCGTGTTGTTAATTGCGTGACAGTCAAGCTCTTGCCAACAAAGACTAATCATTGCAAATATATACCTGGCAGGGTAACAGCCACAGCTGTCATGAAATATATTATGCACCAGCCTGAACCTTCACCCATCTATTAGACACTCTCATCCCCAGGATGCCTTTCCAAAAACGGCCACGCCCGGGCGAATCGACAATAACACGGTCAGCAGTAGAGCATTCTCACCCACACACAAAATCAGGCAGATGCTGGGTGACCTACACGTTTAGGGGGCAGCAAAAATGGAAGATCAGTGATTTTGCATTGGAACGAACCTTCACCCACATTCCAGGGCACAGAACACCTTGTTAATATGCAGCCTTCTGTTGAAGCCATCCAGCTGCCAACTTTCAAGGTTACTCACATCCAGCAGGGAGCAAGTCTCACTGTGCGCCTCGAGGAATAGCATCTTTTAACGTTTCATTCGACGGCTATTGCCTGTTTCCCTGAAGTGGTCAGAAAATCAAGGTGCACTGCAACCTATTTACAATTTAAAATGAAAGGACAAACACTGAAATGCCTCGAGCTAATTTTTGAAAACTTGTCTCTCCTGTTTCTGTACACCAAAGAGAAGACCGCAGGCTTCAGTACCAACTCACATGGTGAAAACAAATCATCATCTGGGCGAAAGCTAAATATATTAATCAGGTAAAGCCAATGTTTGCTGGGTGTGCATGTGATGAATTTATATGACGCTCATTAAAAAAATTATACGGAGAATACTGATAAACCCTCAAAGTTAATACTCTTTGGTTCTTTCGGTAAAGTCATGTAGGCATAAAATAAAATAAATCACGACGTTTCGGGCGCAACACAAGTGCCCGTCATCAGGTGGGACAACCACAGCAAGAAACAATTGCTGAAGTGGGCAAAAAAAGCTTCCACTTATTGCTTGACCAGACATCACAAGCCATGATAAATCCACTACTCGATGAAGGCCTCCGCAAACCTCCACAGCCTCTCACCACGATCTTGTGACGCCAGAATCCATCCAGCACCTGCATACGAACCGATTGTCCTCACTCCATCTCCTCGGTGGACACACTCTCTCTACGACGCTTCCCATTATTAATTGGTTGACAATCAATTACTATTCTGCACAACCGTCTCTCAATAGGTTGGTTGACTTGGTCATATTCTCCAATCCCCACGTTCCTCTTTCTGGCTCCCAATGTAATTCTATGCATGAGTCTCTCCACAGCTTCTCTGCGCACTTTAAAGTTTGTATTCTATATGGTGTTAACAACCACTTTCTCGAAACATATTTCATAACAGGTACTGTAGTGCACACCGAACGAACTGTTATTTTCTTTTGGCACATTGGTACGCTACCAGACCATGTTCAGGCTACACCAGCGAGCAATACGAATAACCGCTTAGCACCTAAACTTAGAGATGAACTGGTGACACTTTTTACAACGGTGCACCTTTGCCCCGCGATGAGTACTGCATTCAATTTGCATTCCTGGATGTACGAACAACCAAGCACAGATAACGGGCAATTTAACGCCAAGTCAGCAATGTGCCCTGCCAACCCACGCTTGGCTTGGCCACAAGGAGCCAAAGTTTACTGGCTATTACGTGCAGCAGACAGGGTTTCATTAACGAGATCCTATTTGCACAGCAATGCTTTTGGTCGGAACCTCTTCAAGAGGCGATGGACACTTCAAACACACCCAGTCACAGATAACACCGTTGGTGTTTGCTTTTTAACATTGTAAACCGAACCGAGCAAAGTGGGAGATAATCTTCAAGCTTCCTGCCACGAGTCTGCAAAGCCGTGCCAGCTTTTGAGAGTGCTGTAGATTCAACTGAACTGGGTGAGATGTCTATGACCTGCAGAATGATTACGCAATGCTGAAATGAAACATACATCAACTCTGGAATATACGAACGGTGGCTAACGCGCGCTCATGAACAAACCTAGCGGCCCGAATTACATTCTCAGCAATGGCTAACATAAAAAGTGAAGGTAACCAGAAGGAGATGAAGACCTAACAGAGAATGGTTTGATGACATTAGAGATTGGTCCCAGAAAGATGTGCACTAATGTGAGCATATTGACACGAGACCGAGGAAAGTGGAAATAAATGACGAAATGTGTACAGTGGACGCCTACCCATGCAACGAGATGATGCTATCATCATAACCTGTTCTATCCTCCTCCACTTACCTGATCAGAATGGTCAAGTACGCTACAACAAAACAACCCCATGGTCGATATGGCCTTAGCCCATTGGTGGACTGAGAACAGAGATAGACTGCCTCGTATATCTGTAAATATCATAAGAAACTGTGGTATTGTGGGAAAACTGGGGCATGAAGATAGTCGACAAAATCTCAGTTGAGTATTTACAAAGTGTTTTATATACGCATTATACAGTACACGAATTGCACACACGCAAACAGATACCACTGCAAACTTGAATTAACATGTCATCAAGAGCGGTGTGAAAACTCGAATTTCGGACCACACGGAGGGATGCAATGTGCGGGGGGCAGAATCATCACTTAGGATTATTCCACCTCGCAGATGTCGACCACACCAGGCAGCAGCAAGAAGGTGTTGTGACTTTCGGTTGAGTTGACCCAGTGGAAACACACGCCAGATTTAGATATCAATTATCCATTGGCACTAGATACAGCGTATACGTAGCTGTAGTTTGGGACACAAGTTAGAAAGTTAAAACTAGCTGCATTTCTACATTTCATCAGAATGTGCAGCTACAGTTTTCACATTCTGCATAATTATGCAGAACGTGGAGCTACAGTTTTCACTTTTTAAAAATCCAACACTGGCTAAAGGTCTCCACCCCCCACGCTAGAGGGGGGCTCTTTGACCATACTTCCCCGCTGTGGTCAATGATGATAGAATGGAGGCGACAACAGACGGCTGGGTACAACGATGCATTATTGTCATCAGCTTCCCACTACGTACTACCCCCCAAGAAATATCCAGGCTCAACGCAGCTAATATTCTGAGATAGTGCGTATGTCAGGTTAGGTGATAAATAACAGGCGTCATGAGATCATATGAATATATGTAAGTGCGTATCTAACGCATGACATATAAGCCAGTTACGCTGTGCACACACACACACGGAACAGTACACGTAAATAGAACTCGACTTTACCCTACACATATGTATGCCTTCCAAGAATCACACATTTCTCCACGTAACAACGCATTCATAAACGAGCCAGCATAGACCAGCGTTAAGTACGGCGGTTAAATCCCCACGATAGATATGACATGGGGAGGCATTCATGCAGCAGTGAATTGTTGTTTTTATAGGAATTTAAACATTTTTTTGCCAGACCTAGTGACCTTTAAGAACACGTGGCAATGAATGCCACACTAATATCACTAATACCCTGTAGACGCAATACCATTATCGATACGCTAAAGAGGACTAAGCATAGGTTACGCATATATATTTAATCGAACATACTTTGCAGTCAAATCACGCAAGCTCGACACGCCCAACTCAACCACCAAACGACGACTCCTCCCAAGGGCCTACTGCAGGCTCCGGGTACACATTTCCAGGCGACACCGCTACAAACGTAAACAACGCGGCGATGATAACGTGCGTATAGACGTGCCACATACCCGCCCGCGAACAGGTGGTTAAAGGTATCCCGCTGTGCCATGTCGTTGCAAATGCGTTGACGTCTAGATGAAATGATGCGGTTGTAATTTAAACGTTTTTTTTTGTTTTAATCTCGAACAAAACGATAATAGCCAAAGAAAGAGTGGAGACGGGAGACGTTAGGACCACGCGTCCGCCACGCGCGCCTCTCTGCGCGCGTCTGAGGAGTGGCGACACGAGCCCCGCCGGGTAGTTTTCCACGCGCCGCGCCAAACAACCACGTGACTCGCGCACGCCGCGCTCCGATTGGCTCGCGCGTCCGCTGGGGGGGGGGGCAACGATGACATGCGCCGCGCACGTGAACCGCGTCCGCGGCGACCAATGGGAGCACTGCACCGCGTTGTTTATTTATTTACGGGCCAATGAGAGCCCACCTCCGCGGGATGTTGTGCGCGTGACGTCTCATCGCCAAAAAGGCTGCCGCCCGTCGGCAACCACAGCACGTGTAGAGATTATTTATTTATTTATAACCAATGGACGGCCGCGCTGTGTGACGTAAGACGCGATTAACATACGACGATTGACCAATGGGAGCGCGTCCTGTCGTTATATATTTATTTTTGACCAATGGCCGCGTCGCCTAATTAGCATAGGTAAACGTGAACTTTGTACAGACATTTTTTCTCCACGAGGGATGGCGAGACCTTGAATGGGTGGAAAATCACTCGGCGATATTATTTGGCCTGATTACGTTGAGTGCCAATTCATGGATATTAAAATAAGTTATTAGGATGCGCACATTTTACAACAACCCCCACCTTCCCCTCCAAGGGCAAGGGAGTTGTTTGCACGTTCTGATTAGGGATTATATTGGTTCCTATGATGAACCAATGGCCATCAGACAGCTTCCTTGACCCATTTTTGTATTGTTGACTTGTGACTACAGCAAATCAGTGATGCTGTGGAACGCGTTACAGTGACGATGTAATATTTTTCTTGTAATACAGCGTTGGCAGTGGCACATATGCACTCATGCGAAGTTTGGTAGTACCACTCTGAACACATTTTTCTAGAACACTGGTCGAAAAGTCTAAACTACTTTCGCCGACGTTCTGAGCAATGGTTCTATTTCGAGATGAAGGATCATTGGCCAAAACTTCACCTGTTATATTTAATGTGTTGAGTTTAAGTTTGCTATTTACTTCAAATCGGTTTTCACGAGGAATGTTTCAGCAAATATCACTAATGATCAGTTTGGTTCTGGACCACTCTCAATGGGCCCTCCAGAATTTTTCAAGAACGTTTTTTTAAATATATAAGCGGTAAAGCAAACGTCTATTGTTGCTCTACAACTTCTATGCTCACACACGTCACGTGACTTCACAATCCGTACGGCCAAATATCTGCCAAAAACCAGCACGGTGTTTCACATTCTATTCTATGGGACACTCTGTAACTAAGGCTGTTCAGGTCTCCCTTTGTAAAATAAATAACATGCTGGAATTAGAACGGGTCACGCAAAAGGGTGCCATTCAAATAAAGAAAAACTTCAAACCACGACCATGTATGGAATTATACAAAAAGCAGACTCTGCAGATAAGGGACTTTATGGGTTTAATACGGGTTGGGACTCTATATATTTTGAGATTGGCACATCACACATGTTTTTCAGTTGTGAGTCACATCGAGTTAGATATGATTCACGTTCTGCTGTGACTTAACAGTCTACAGATTGTGAAACATCTGGCATCGATCGTCTTGGTTCTTTCGGTAAAGTCACGTAGAAGGGAAGTAATAAAATAATAAAAATAAACATAATCAAATAAATAATTCTCACGACGTTTCGGCCACAACGCAAGCAGCCGTCTTCAGGTGAAGACGGCTGCTTGCGTTGATTGCGTTGTGGCCGAAACGTCGTGAGAATTATTTATTTTCTTATGTTTTATTTTTATTATTTTATTACTTCCCTTCTACGTGACTTTACCGAAAGAACCAAGAAGATGAATCCCTGCAGTCACGAAAGCTTTAAATCGAAATCTGGCATCGAGTTACATTAAAGTTGGGCATGCCTCAAACATCTTTTACATCCCAAAATAGTAATTCAGTATACATTTAAACTACTTCATAGACGATAGTTAATGGTAATGTAGAGCTTTTTAATGGATCCACTGCTGGATGAGGTCCTCAAACTCCTGCTTAGCTTCTGAGATTTCACGAGATCGGGTGCCTTTTATGTGATTTAGTTATGGACACTAGTTAAACAATAGTTAATACAACATTTGTCACCATTACAATCACCTATACAGTACCGTATTCTAAATACTGAAATTATTCATTGATGTTTGGCTAATTGGAGATTTACAAAAACGTCGCTATTTCAATTGTATATGGTATTGAATGGGGAGCGGTAGTGTAGTGGTTTGCGCGCTGCACTATGAACTCGGCGATCCGAGCTTGATTCCTGTTCATGGCCAACACCGGTGACGATTATTTTAACCGGTTCTGGGCCTCCCCTAGGTCGACTCAGCCTCAAATGAGTACCTGGTGCGGTGTGTGAACATCGCCACTGAGGAGACAAAGGCGGTCGGACGTGGTGCTGGCCACCCACCCCCTCTTGTACCATTCCAGTACTTACCCCAACAGTGTGTTAAGGCTATATGGTGGATCTTTGTCTTTGTTACATTGTATTTTGTGGGGGAGCGGTAGCGTAGTGGTAAGCACACTGCACAATGTATTCAGCGACCAGAATTCAGTTCCCGCTCATGGTTAACACGAATATCTGAAATTCATCCCCCGTTGTGCCACGCAAGCCTTGATAGGCGCTTGTTTAAAAAACAGCACGTGCCAAAAACTGTCTGATAAAAGCTGTCCTGGGAAGCGTTATTATATTTCATTGCGCAGTGCAGTAGGTCGGCAACAACCGATGCATTTAACATTGGGTTAGCCAAAGCTTCGAAATGATGGGCTTCCCATTTTGGAAACTCTCTAAGGAGTGACACCGTGTACTCTGGCCAGTGTGGAAACATTCTTTGAAAGTAAACTGGACAGAATGGAACGTAATGTGGAACGGAACACATAAATAGCACACACACACTGACATCGAGACGTGCAATACGGCACCTATGTTTTACCTTTAGTGGAGCATGACAATCCAACAGTTAATCGGGAACTATACAACACGGCTAAATATTATAATACTGTACAGAATAATGACCGTTCTGGATTCTCCCATGTCGCTTCGATGGCTGAGTGTAAAGCTATTATTGGCTTAAATCTTTTTTATGGCTTCTCACATGGGAGACGAGTCCAGTCCTAGACATACAAATGTGGTTAAATATCTTGCAAGTGTAGCTATTGTTGGGGAGGGGAAAACTTTAATAACGAAGTACTTAACTTTATTGCGTACGCTTAGTAATGATACACTTTATCTAAAAAAGCTTCACTGTGTACGACATTGGAGTTGTTTGACAGGACGTCAGCACTTTGCTTTTTGCGGGTTGATGAAGTTGGGTGGGGGGGGAGCGAGACACTGATGTGAGCCAGAACATTCCACTGATGTGCGCAATGACTGAATGAATGAGACTCAGGTCAATGGGTTCACAACACAGTGCACAGGCCACTGCTATCACTGTGCCACTGCTCCAGCCCAAATATAATATCGATGCTGTTTATTTACCGAAGGAAAGCCTCTATGAGACTAAAATTTAGGCTCTTTGTGTGTGTTTCTTTTTGTTAAAAAAGGCCCTGCATTTTTTATGTTTGGCCAATTTCACGAACAAGTGTTTGGCGTGTGAGAGGAAATCAGAGTGCCTGGAGAAATCTTGTGCATACAAAGGGAGAACACTCAAAGCTCCTGAGTTACATTCAACTGCCCTCCACTGAAACTGTCATTGGTGTCATATCCAGCACTACAAAACATCTCGAACCTGAACCAGCTAAAATGTCACCACTCTAATAATGTTCCTTTTCAAAGATTCACACTCGAGAGTAGGGCTATTCAACAATAACCGGTCAACCGGTAACCGTTTTCAGAATCGATTACCCTTCCTGAAAGTCAGGTGCAGGCACTCGTGTCCGGTGCAATTTTCGTAATGAATGTGTAGTGACATGGAATGTCACCACCTTATGTATCGTGTTCACGTTGGTTGCTATGCGTTAACAAAGTGTTGCCTCCAAGTTGAGTGTGTGCCTCTATTGAACCCACCACACATGCACTGATTGGCACGCGAACGTACAAAACGACACGGCGGCCTAAGTCGCAGCATCGCAACATTTGTCCTCGAATCAATTGATTGATTCTAGATTTGAAGCTTTCGTGACTGCAAGGATTCATATTCTTAGGTTTTTTCACGTAGGTAAAAAAAAACCTTTACAGCAGCCCCACCTTAACAACTCTGGTACCTCCCAGTTCAACCAGTCTACACAACAAAGGCTCATTCCTAGCAGTGGCCTCAGCCGCACCAACCTCACAATAATAATACAAAACTCCAATCCAGGTGACTGCCTTGGCTCCTCCCACCCTCAACCAGTATATATACAAGGACGGGTCTCTTGGAATTTCTCTTACTTGATACAGCTATCGTGCTGTGACGGTTCCGCCTGAAGACGGAAGCTTGTGATGCCTCCGAAACGTCGTGATTTTTATTTTATTTTTGTTTAATTTTACTTTTATTAATTTAAATTTTAAATTTTACCTACGTGACTTTACCGAAAAAACCTAAGAATATGCAATTGATTGCTTGCTCATGTCACTGTTGGCCGGTCCTCCTCCACTGGACGGAGCCGTTGAGGTATTTTTAAATCCTTTATATTAAGTTCACTTGCTTGCTTGCGTGCTTGCGTGCTTGCTTACGACCGTGCAAACCTTTCGGTCGTTTTTTAACCCACTTCCCGTGATCCAATCGAGCTCACATTTTGCACACAGACTCGTTGTGCGTGACAATTAATGTTCGTGAAATTTTTTTTCCAAAATTTTACACTTTATAGGACAAAAATATTATATTTAATTACCAATTGTTTAATACTGCAGACAATCATCTGACCCATAGGTGGCAGCCATCTCAAGCCAGAGGACGAGAGGACTCTTGCCGCCACGCATATAAAGGATTTAGAGTGAAAAACTTTGTTTTTACGGGTTATACTTATTGCCCACTCTGTTGCGCTGGTTAAACGTGGGCGTACCCACACTTTACCCCACCACATTCCAGAGGTGGGACAAAGTCATTGTTA